ACTGTTGCTGCTTTACTCTTTGAGAAGGCTGCCTTGCTTGGCTGAGTTCTTTTTTTGAATGGGCAGCAGCTCGCTGGCAGCCAGCGAGGGGCACCTGTATGTGGTACAGCACCTGGTGCCCATCTCCAACATCCAGCACAAGAACCTCAAAGGTCAAACGCCAGTGGAGATCGAGAGGGCGGTCGACAGGACTGATGTCGCCCATCTGGCCAGAGTGTCAACTGGCAACTCAGTCACTGACTAAAAGCTCGCCTCCCAACCCTCCCTCCCTCCCTCCCTCGCTCGCTCCTTGGTTCATGTATTTATTTCTGTCTCTTGCCTGCCGCACTCTTGAATTGGGATGGGGGTAAGGGGGAAAGGTGAATATTTATCTTCTTTGCCGTTCAAACCCTTTCTCCTCCCTTGCAACTGACCGCACTTTCGGCTATCTTCCTACCCCTTTCCCCACCAACCTCCCTGCCCTCCACCCCTCCTCCACCCTTGATCCCAATCTCCTCGAGTCCAAATCCCTGACTATCCAGTCCAGTGCCTTGGGACGTTGCCCGACATAAATGTCATTTGTTGTTGTTGTTGAAAGCTTAAGTGAGAGGTTTTCAAGTGCAAATTTTAGTTACTTCCACAAAGCAGGCATTTACACAGAACCCTTTGTGTAGGGTGCGTTCTGAGGATGTGGAATAGTGGCGGAGTTTGACATTGAGCCTGGGAGAGAGAGAGAGAGAGAGAGAGGTGACCATAGGCACAGTCAAAGAGGAAAGTCTTCAGTTAACAAACAATGTGGAGCTTCATGTAGTGATGAGGCTGTTTTCTCTCTCTCTCTCTAAGAGAGTCTGAGGTCATGGGTTGGAGAGATTTGAGTCCCAGGGATCTAATAATATTTACCTCTGTTTTGTTGTGTTATGTGTTGAGTTTACATGTGTGTTTGGAATGATTTCTAAGTACTGTAATCTCAGTCAGCATTTGATGTGTTCTGCACAAAAGTTTTTACCAGAATTCAAATAAGTGTGGAATAAATAAGTGTTTTGATTTCCCCATTCCCCCATGCTTAATAATAATACTATAATAATCCCTCCAAAAATAATTTGGTCACTCAATCCATGACTGTCTGGGGGACACTGCTGTGCACAATTGGCTGCTGTGTTTCACCCATAAAATACACAGTCAATCCACTTTACAATATATTCTATATACCATATTAAATGCAAGGATTATTATTATTATTGACTGTATTTGTAAAAGAAAATAGAATAATTTGTTCTGGAAGTTGGCAAGTTTATGGCCTGGAGGCACAAAGATACGTATTGAAAATTGGACTCCAGTTATATATTTGGCCAAACTGTGTGCTTCATGGGCACATGTAATGGTTTGCTTCTTGTTTTAACACTACTGTTTCTAATAGCTTTGCAAACAATGGTAATGGCCACAAGGGCTGAACCCATAACCAAGATATATAAGCAAAGAATGCAAAATACGCTTGTAAGGTGATACTAAATTACTGCTATTATAAAGCTCATGGTCACACTCTTTAACCTGATGTTCCAGATTTAAGATAATGGTTTGATCTCAGGGTATAAAGATAACTGGGCCAAATTTGAACTTTTTTCAATGAATGGTAAGTGCTAATAGTGACATTATGGGATATTATTCATCTCACCCAGTGTTTAATCGGAATGGCCTATCTGGATTTATTAACCCTATTATTACTGGAATATTAAAGTTGATTACTTTAAAAATGAATGTATGATGTTTGATAGCTAAAATAATGCCTTCAATAAGATTCTATTATGATTCCAGGCTCACTGATTCAAGAAAATAACCAGTTGTTCCTCACATTCTTATGGGAGGAGAAAGCTTCCTTAGACTATGACATATGCACATTTTGCGCAGATATCCGAGGACAACTCCTTCTTTGGGAATGGGTTTTGAATAAGACAGCAAAGGCAGAGGTGTTGCCATCAATAGTGACCTAAAATCTGTACATTATACTCATTTCCAGAATTCTAGGTTCCACCTCACCTAAGCAACATATATAGTGCCCTTCATGTGGGTTAGCATCCCGGAGCGCTTACAGTGATGGAACTTGAAGCCATCCCAACATTTTGCCCTGCCAGGAATCGAAGCCAGGTCTCTCGCTTGCAAAGCGAGAGCTCTAACCACCGAGCTACAGGACACCACGTCTAAAGATGGGCAAGGATAGGGTAAGGTGAAGGTATTGAGGCAGAGAGTTCCAGAGTTTCGGGGAGTAGTGGCTGAAAGCAAAGTCGCCGATGGTGGAGCGGAGAGGACAAGGGACATGCAGAAGGCTGCAGACAGTTGAGCAAAGGGAGTGAGGAGAGGAGACAAGCGGGTTGTAAGCGGATTGGAGAGGTAGGGAAAACCAACTACAGAAGCTGGACATACGACCTTCTCCCTCTACCAACAATGAACTAAAATTGGCAACGAGGAGGTGCAGGAGATCGGTGCAGAAGGAGTATTGCCTCAGTTTTCCTAATTGTCCTGTGGGGAATCATCTTGTTGGAATCTTGCTAAAATGGTACAGCCAAAACTAGGATTTTGTCATGCAATGGATGACAGATGTAAAACTGCAATCCACCACTCTGTGGCACTTTGCCCTGGATCGCCTGTAGTTTTATTATTTTAGTTGCAAGTTATTATATGTTGTGGGCACAATGTGTGGTAGAAGCTGGAAGAATTAATGGAGATGCTGTGTCCACAATTTTGTGCATGGGTGCACATGAGTCATTATAATTTTTATTTTGGGTGGTGGTGGTGGATTGGAAACAGTTGGACGATAGTAAATGGGTAGAACATGGAATGGATGCAAAAAGGAAACATGGATCAACCAGGGCAATGACACAGAAATTGTTAGTCCACTTCTATACTAAACAAGTGTTGTTCAATGAGTGGTGACTGAATGAATGACGTATGGGGCCTACAAGAGTCTGATTTGTTTTTAAAGATACATTATCAGTACCTTCAATTTTATTGACAAATATAAGTACTGTATTGTGAAAATTGTATCCAATGAGATTTGTGTATACAGTGTAAACATCCCAGTCATTGTAGTGAAACTACAATAACATTTCCACTAATCTCAGGGTTGTCAATATCACGGCCTGTTGGAGTGACATTTATAATTTAAAAAACTGTCATGAACTGCATAACAATCAAATCGACTGGAGTTGCTTGTATTTCAAAGTCACCCAAAATAGGTCACTTTTAATACCAAATAAATGATTCAGAGACCCCTGTTTGGAGAGCTTTATTGCTGAAGTTTAATATCAATCAGTGACACAGACTTTAAACTATTTAGACACTTGGAAACCCTGTTTATTTTACAGTGACGTCCATCCCAATACGTCGTACTTTAAACACGACCATAAACGAATGAGGATTCACAAATTTGGCACCACTCCCAACAGCAGTGACACCACAGATCTGCAGCCCTCTGTGGCCCGGAGCCGCTCGGCTATTTCCGCCGGTGGTCCGGAGCCGCTCGGCTATTTCCGCCTGTGGCCCGGAGCTGCTCGGCTATTTCCGCCGGTTGTCCGGGAGCAGCTCTCTGCTATTTACGTCGCTCTCCGCTTCCAGACGGCTTTATGTCTGCGGCGGCAGTGCGCGTGCGCAGTCGCCATCTTGCCCTCCCAGGGCACAGTAGCGAGTGACAGAGACTGTGAGTGAAAATCATAATAATAAATAAAGAGGAAAAGAAAAAGGAAGCCGGGCCGAGCCTGCGGGCAACCCCAGAGCACCCGCAAACAGCAGCCTCTCCCGGGGTTATCTATCCATCCCCCCCTCCCCCTCCCCCCCAGCGGCGGCTCTTCCTGCCCCTCTCGCTGTCTCTGGCTTTAGTTTGAATGATGCGGCTGAACGGCCGGCGGAGGCGAGTCCCGGCACCAGCGCAGCGTCGCGCCGACGTGACCTGTTGGTGCCGCTGCTAACTGAGCGGCGTCTGTGAGAGACGAGAGTAAGAGACCCGGGGCCCTGCGCTCCTCCGCGGGAAGCGTGTGTGCTTTAGTCAGCGAGGGAGACACACACACAGACAGACAGACACACACAGTACAGACAGACAGACAGACGGGAGGTGTCGGACAGGGAGAGGAGGAGGAGGAGGAGGAGCCGGGGCGGCTGGACCGGCGCTGACTGCACCGTCGGCGTTTCGCCGCCTCGCTCAATGGCTGCGGGTGGTGGTGGCGGTGGCGGCGGTGGTCGCGGCGTCTTGAAATGAGCCGAGAGGTGGAGAGGGGGGAGGAGGCATCTGGTCTCAAGAGAGGCAGCAGCTAAGTCAGCCACAGAGAGAGAGAGAGGGGTGTTAGGGACAGTCAGAGGCAGGAGCCAGCGGTTGCTCTCGCTGCCCGTGTGAGGGTGGGTGGGTGTGAGGGTGAGCGGCCGCGACGCCCCCCCTCGTTGCCCGGTCGACTTGAAATTGAATTGCTCGTTCCTTTGCTTCCGTTGCCGGTTTGTCGCAGTTTGTCCGGGAGGGGGGAGGGGAGGGGAGAGGGGGGTTTCTTTTTTTTTAAAAAAGGGTGAAGCGCTTTCCCTTTCCTTTCCTCCCTCGTCCGCCCGCCCCCTTCTTCTTCTTCTTCCTCCTCCTCTCCGAGTGACAGGGCCGGCGGCTGCTCTTTAAATGTGATGATGCACCAGCCGGAAAGTGCGGCGGAGAGGAAGATGGCGCACCCGCCGTACCCCCGGAGGAGCAGCAGCAGCAGCACCGCCGCCGCCAGCCTCCCCGCCACAGCCGGCGCTGGCCTCACCAGCGCCCCCGGCTCGTCCGCCTCCCTCAGCAGCCTGATCGGCGGGGCCGGCGCCGGCCTCCCGCACCCTCCTCACGCAGAGGAAACCCCGGCTCACGCCCGCTCGTCCGCTTCGCTCGCCACGGCTTCGGTCTCCTCGCCGTCGCCGTCGCCGGGGCTCGGCTCGCTGCCGGGGGGGGGAGCTGCCCCGGGACCGCAGCTGCCCCCTCAGAGCCTGAGCCTCCATCCCCAGCCGCCGCCGCCGGCGCCGCCGACCGTCTCGGTGGCCGGGGCTCAGATGAAGAAGAAGAGCGGCTTCCAGATTACCAGTGTCACTCCGGCCCAGAACAACGCCGGCTCCAACAACAGCATCGCCGAGGACACCGAGAGCTACGACGACATGGACGAGTCCCACACCGAGGACCTGTCGTCCTCCGAAATATTGGACGTGTCCAGGGCCACCGACTACGAGCCGGAGAGGAGCTCGTCGGAGGAAACGTTAAATAACGTCGGGGATGCTGAGACTCCCGGCGCGCTGTCTCCCAACCAGCCCCGGCTCCCTCAGCACCAGACTGCTTTATTTAATGGGAGTATCCACAGCCTTCACCCACCGCAACACCATCACCCTCCTCACCATCACCAACACCAACAACAACAACACCACCACCACCCACGCCATGGTGGCAGGACCCGGGTTAGTCGGTACCGCTAATGCTGCTTCGGGAGGAGTCATCGCCTCTGCAAATGTTTCGGCGCCCACCGCTTCAGAAAAAAATGGAATCCATGTGCCCGTTTCTGGGTTAGTAACGAGCGCTGTCGGCACTCCCGCACCACCAACTTCCAACATCAGCACCACGGGTAATGGTAACGCCAGCGCTGCGAGTGGTCCGGGCAGTGCTCATCTGGGCAACATTGCCCTGACTAGTAGTGCAAAAATGAACGTCACTGGGGCAAGTAGCAGTGTTAATGTTACTGCTGTCAGTGCTTCCTCAAATGTTAATGCAAGTTCCACTAGTGCGGCAGGAGGCCCTGGATCTGCGGTGAGCCAACCTGCTGCTGGCAGTTCCAGATTTAGAGTTGTCAAACTAGATTCCAGTACTGAACCCTACAAGAAGGGTAGGTGGGTTTGCACTGAATTTTATGACAAAGAAAATACCACTGTTGTTTCTGAAGGCATATCTATGAACAGGACAGTGGAGAGTGTAAAACAGACTCCCACTGATGTGAATCTGGAAAAGGAGAGCACAAGTGGAGGAAGTTCTTCTGTGAGCAGTACTGTGAGTACAATAGGTTATTACATAGAAAATGCTGGTAATGGGGATCCGGGATTGACTCTAGCACCCCAACAACAAGCATTTCAAGGATTTAGTAATCAGCAGTTAGACTTTAGCAGTGCTGTTCCTCATAGTGTACAACCTCTACCACAAAGTGTTTCTCAGCCACAGCTTGCACAAATGCAGTTGCATTCCCAGGAGACTATGCATTCCCAGCAGAAGCCAAGTGCACCTCTCTCTGGTCAAACAAATATCAGTAACGTAGCTAATGTTCAACAGGCCTCAATTCAACAGCAGTTACCATATCCTCAACAACAGCAGGCTTCCCAGGTCATGCCAGTTGTGCCCCAGCAACAGCTACCATATCTGCAGCAACAGCCAGCTTCACAGATGACGGCAAAGCATACTATATCAGCAAATACAAGTGCTATTATTTCAGACTATGTGCAGCACACTCAAATTCAATCCTCGGTGCAGGCTATGCAACAGGGCGCTGGCGGGGTAGGACCAGGAGCACCATCAGGCCAAACGCAAGTTGTCCAAGGCCAAGCACCACCTATGTCAGCACAAACACTGCCTGCAGTGGCCCCAAGTCAGCCTGTGGGGCAGTTATCAACAATGTTGCTGCCTGGTGCTGCCAATGGACAATTGGTGACGGGTCAGCAAGGGAACACAATCTCCTTGTTGCAGCAGTCTTGCACACCACCTGTTGTAAACCAGTCAGCATCAACAGTATTGCAGTCAAGTACTCCTCAGCCTTGCCCTGGACAGCAAATAGGACAGCCTCAGCAAAGTGGGATTGTACAACAGCAAGTTGTACCTGGCAGTGCATCAGGGCTTGTGCAGCAAGTTGTCATGGCACCACAGAAACAACAGTTGCCATCACAACCTCAAGGGCAAGGAGCTGAGTCTGTTATTCAAAGTGTGAATAACCAGCAGATAACTGGAATAAGTTCTACGCCATCTGCTGTTACTGCCAACCTGCCCAGTGTTAATCAAGTTGGATCAAGTGTGCCTCCAAATCTACCTACTGTTCCTGCAAGTGTAATTCCACAACAACCCACCACCCAGATAGCTCTTGTGCAGAATGGCAGTTTGATCCAGAATGTTAGCCAATCTTCAATACCAACAAATGTGTTGCAGGGAGGGCCACAACCACAAGTGGTACCAGGCAATGTCCAGTATCCAACTCAAGCTTCTGTCCAGCCACAGATAAATCAGATGGAAGATGTACGAAGACCTGCTGACCAGCATGTGATGATTGCACATTTTGGTGAGAGTGCTCTGAGTGCTGCTTCTTATCTAGCCCAAGAAATTGCAAGCGGCGCTAACCCTGCATCTCTCCTTCCACTGAAGACTCTGCCACTGTCCATGCAACCTGTAGATGGTGAAGATGACAGGTAAGAGTGACCCTATTGTACAGAATATTGTTTAAATGTAAACATCATGTTTGTTTGCATATCAAAGACTGATTCCACAGGAAACTGTGGTTTAATATTTCATTTTACACATTTAATTCTGTGAACCGTGGTTAACTTTTACATGTCCCAAAGGGGTATGCTTTCAATTTAATACAATATGGCAGAAATTCTTTCTTTCAGTATTTCAGTGTTTTTATTTGATATTTAGCAATATGATTTATTTCTTTAATTGCATTTTAGGCATTTTGATAATTTGCATCAAAATAACCTCTCATCCTGCTGTGTACAAAATATTTTTAAAAGCAATTCTTGAAATTGGTCCATAGTATGATGAAAATAATCTCAAAATACTATACTTAATGCAGTACTTTGGTATAAACAACAACAACAAGATTGTAATTATAGAGCGCCTTTCACGTTGGGAGGACGTCCCAAGGCGCTGGACAGTTGGGTTGGGACCCGAGCAGGAGGGAACTGGTCAGGGTGAAGGGAGGAAAGGGAGGGACGAGGAGGGGGTAGAGAGTCGAGGGGGAAGGTGAAGGCACGGTTGAAGAGAACAGTAGTTCTACAGAAATGTTAGTCTAGGCTTGCAAAAAAAAATGTTGGAAAAACCTTACATTTAGCAAAAATATGGGTACTTCATGTGGGAATAACTTCAGAATAACTCAGAGAAATTGAAATAACCAACATAAGATGAATCTTTTAGTTATCCGTTCTTAAGGAAATCTTATTTTAAAGCCCTTTTTTTAAATAGGGAAACTGATCGTGTTTTCTAGTTCAATTGAAAACCATACCTCACCACTACCTTGTGATTTTGTTATTTATGTAATACTGTATTTTCCTTGACGCTGAGTGTAGGAGGCTTTAAAATACCCCTGTGTGCTGATTAAATGCCAAGGTTGCAGGATATGAAATAACTTTACCAGATTGATTGGAAAACTACAACAAAAAATATCTGCTTTCCCTTGCTGGCTGTTTGCCACCGTGTATCCTCCTCCTGCTGCTATGAGAAGGGATAGTCTAGGCTGTTGGTTTTCTACTGTCAATATCTCTCTTGGGATAATGGTAGGAGGAATACCCCAAATGTCTTTATTCACCTCATTCTCTATCCCCATTTCATTCCCTCTCATCTACCAGCAGATGAACTACTATTTTTTCTATGACTTTCTATATAGTTAAATGCTTGGAAAGTGTTAATATGTCCAACTGATGTATTGGGCAATGCTTGGATTATGGTACACAGCTGTCTACTAGTCTTGCAGCCCCTTTTTTTAAAAAAATGATAGCTTTCCATTTTTTCAGAGTTTATATAGAAGTCCTTTAGCCTGCCACATGTTTGTTCATCATTTACTATCACCAGTGAAAGAACAAGTTGTGAATTGCTTCTTACAAACTAAAGAAATGCGTTGAAACATTTGAACTGTCAATTATTTAATGCTCTGTATATAGAAATGCAATGATTTCCAGTGAAGTATACTGTTAAAATATGTTTTAGGATATCTAATGTGATAATGTTTTGTTACCACCAAACAAAAGGCAGTTTCATTCATTCACATTTGTTTGATTGCCTAAAACGTACAACTGACTCAGCAACAACATTTTTAAAACTAAGGCTAATATAAAATTTTCGTTTAATAGATTTAATTGTGCATTTATTTAGATCTTGACCTAATTTAAGAAACAATCCAGTCAATTTTTTTGTGTGTTTGACCAACTTAGTAAATTGTTGTTAAACTCTAAACATTCAAAGAATTGACTGCATGAGCTTATTTTAATTTAATTCAATTGTTTCAATGTTAATTTTTTTTAACAAAAATCTTTGCTTCTGCATTCATAATGCAGCAAAATACAACCTGCTTGTAAACAAATTATAGCTGAAATATATTTTTTGTGGGAATGATTAATAAACAATTTAGGAACGTATTCTGTGTTATTTGATAATGTCACAGGTGGCTTTCTGTATTAAGCTAAAGTGTGACAGATAGAAAACACGTATTGTGTTGCCATTGATTAAATGCCCCTTTTAATTAGTCATTTTGCAAAGAATGCCTCATTATCAAGGATTTATTTTTGAAAGAAGTGGCTGGTGGACAACTTGCACTCAAAGTAGTTTAGAAGTTGACATGTGGAATGTGAGCCTGAACTCCGCATACTGAATCAGCCAGTTATTTGGCCTGACTGCCCTGCATTGGTATGGAATAATGTAATGCTATAGTACTCCAGTGAGCAGGGGCCTTGGTTCCACCTCTCCCCTTTCATTGGTGATTGGCATGGAACTGCTGTGGAGCTCATGCCTATGCCAAAGTCCATACAAATGCTTAATAACAGCTGGTTGGTGGATTCAGATAAATTATGACGGTCAACTTTCAGTGTAAACTGAAAGCTCCTAGAACTTAGAGGTGGCGTTTTTTCCTCAGTTCTTTATGCATTCCTGCTGGAGTATGTATTCATTGTCCTTCACTGTGCTTCAGAATCGAGGAAACAAATGCCATCAATAAAATCGTTTGTCTTATCCCGACATCCGCAAACATTCCATGAGGTTTTGTTCTAAATAAAAACTAAAATATAGTTTGTGTCTATTGTTCTTTTTCACATAAAATAGGGACTATTATAATTTAAAAGTAGGCCTTTAACCTGGAGTGAATGTTATACAAAGATATGCGAAGAGAAATGTTTTGTGAAAGTGGGGTTCAAAGTGTCTTCACATATAATGTGCATTAATTACACTATAAAATCAGTAAAAAAGTGAGCGTTTGTGTATGGAAGGCTACATTCCTTGCATCTTTTAAAATGGCAGCTGTTTACTGCAACATTTGTTTTTCACAAGTTCTGCTTTTTTCCAAAAATGTCACAAGTTGTGTGTTTTTTCTTGTAGCTTAGTGGGTAAATGTATTACGGGGTGTAAGTAAGTACTGACCTGTACAAACCAATAAAGTTCTAGGATCAATCTGTTATTTTCTTAATTAGAGTTAGTTATAATATATAATTATTAATTATAGTTAGTTCAAAAAAGATTGGGAAAATCAGCAAAGCCTCTTTATTTACTATCCCGTGATCTTTGCTGGAAAGTGAACTGATGAGAATAGGGGG